GGAAGGGGGGGTTTGGCGGCTAGGGTTTTTGTGCTCTGATACCAAATTGGAATAGAAACCCTAATCTTATTATGAGATCTCTTGGGCTTATATGGGCCCCTACACAACTTACAAATAAGTCCCTAACTAATACTAATATATCAACAGTTTTCTTAGGATACCCTGAAGGGGTAAAACGTTATAGGCTTTGGAAAAAGAGTGAACCGGGGTTTAAGGTAGTGATAAATAGAGATGTTGTTTTTAATGAAAATGAATTTCCTTGTTTTCCTTTATCTGTCCCTATTCCTGAAAATGATGCTCCAAATGAGGTGGAGCAAATACCTATTATTAATCAACCTGAATCACCTCCTGAAGAAAAATTAAATGATATAATTATTGAAAATCAAGATGAGATTATTTCTAATGAGGCGGAGCATGATATGCAGGAAATAGATAACATGCATGATTTGAATAATTATCAACTCACTAGGGATAGAAATAAAAGAACAATTAGGAAACCTGAAAGGTATAGAGATTACAATTTGACTGGTTATAATATGTCTGAGTTTGCCTTTAATGTGTTTGAATCCTTTGAGTGCAATGAACCTAAGACTTATAGAGAAGTATTAAGGTCAAAATATTCTGAAGAATGGATTAGTGCTATGAAGAGTGAGATGGAATCCCTAAGAATTAACCAAACATGGAAACTTGTTCCTAAACCTGCTAGTTGTTCTGTAGTAGACTGACAAGAATCTGAAAGTGTTAGGTTTAAGGCTAGGTTAGTAGCTAAGAGATTTACTCAAAAGGAGGGAATTGATTATGCTGAAATTTTTGCTCTTGTTGTCAAATTCACTACTATTAGAATTATACTTGCTTTAGTTGCTCATTTTAATTGGGAATTAAAACAAATGGATGTAACTACTGCTTTCTTGCATGGCGATCTTGATAAAAATATTTATATGCACCAACCTGAGGGCTTTGTGGACCCTAAATTGCCTGATCATGTGTGTTTGTTAAAAAAAAGCTTTGTTTGGTTTAAAACAACCACCTAGACAATGGAATATTAGATTTGATAAATGCATGCAATCTTTAAAGTTTAAAAGGAGTTCTACTGATCATTGCCTGTATTATAAGAATATATACTCAGTGCTTGTATTTCTTTTAATTTATGTGGATGACATGTTGATTGTTAGTCCTTGTTTGAAGTCTATTGAGCATGTTCAAAAATGTAAAATTTTGACATGAAAGACTTAGGTGATGCTAAAAGAATCCTAGGCATGAACATTATTAGGGATAAAAACAAATCTACTCTAGTTTTAAACCAAAGTTCATATGTCGAAAAACTTTTGAGTAAATTCGCTATGTCTGATACCAAATCTGTGAATGTGCCTATTGCTTCACATTTTGTATTAAGTAAGGATCAGTCCTCCAAGACTGAAACTGAAATAAATGATATGAAGAAGGTGCCATATTCGAATGCTATAGGATCGGTCATGTATCTCATGGTTAGTATTAGGCCTGATATTGCATATGCGGTTAGTTGCTTGAGTAGATATATGTCAAATCGTGGTATGCCTGATTGGAATGCCGTGAAATGACTTTTAAGATATTTAAAATCCTCTGTGGATATAGGATTAACCTTCTCGAAGTGTTCTGAATGTGTTAAACTAGTTGGCTATGTAGATTCCAATTATGCAAATGATAGAGATAATAGAAAATCTACCACTTCCTATGTGTTTACTTTGTGTGGCTCTTGCATAAGTTGAAAATCCCAACTACAACCCATTGTTGCTTTATCTACTACTAAATCTGAGTATGTTGCTGCCACTGAAGCATTTAAAGAAGCTATTTGGCTTAAGGGCCTTATATCTGAAATTGGTTTTCTTGATAAAAATGTGGTTGTATTTTCTGATAATCAATTTGCTATTCAACTTTACAAAAATCCTGTTTTTCATGATAGAACCAAACATGTTGATGTTAGATTTCATTACATTCGGGATATAGTTGAAAAGGGTATTGTCAAGTTAGAGAAAATTCCCTCGGAATTTAATCCGGCTGACATGGGTACTAAGTGTTTGCCTGCTGAAAAATTTATCTCGTGTCAAAGAATCTTGAATTTTGACTTTTGGTAATTTTTCTTTGCTTTGTGTGTTGCTTTTGTGGCTTATTAACTTGCTTTGTGCTTGTTAGTAGCTTTGTGATTTTCCCTTTGAACTCGATGACCGTTTGGTAGAGTTCAGTCCTTTGTGGACCTGACATGCTTGGTGATCTTGCCGCGATCTGTGTGATCTAGGTTTACTTTGTGTATTCTCTTTCATTGCTTGTATCTTTTTTGTGATCATACAGGTAATGGTTTGGCGATGATGAGCCCTGTAGTTTCGTGTTTTTCATCTGTGCACTACCTTGGGCCAAAGGTGGAGATTGTTGCTATTTTGTTGGTCCAAATTCTGGTCCGTTACCAAAAGGCTCAGTTCCCCATCTTACTTGCCCTAGCCCATCTCTTTGATCCTCTTTCTCCCTGCTGCTTAACCCTAGGTTGGTTGTCCCCTTTATAAAACCTGAAGTGGTTGTTCTCAAGGAGACAGAAGAAAAACAGTGGCTTTGTGCTCTGAGAGCTTTGTGCGATCCTCTCCCCTTCTGTGAGCTTTTCCCGTCCATCGCTTTGTGTGATCCCTTCACCCTTTGTGAGTGATCAAAGAGAAGAAGTGTGGCGAGTTCCCCTCTTGTCCTGATGGTGCACAAGAGAGAAACGATGACTGAAGATTCAGGCTTCTGAGCCAAACAGCGACGACATAACTCTACAGCATCTCTTGGAAATAGAGCGAAATGAGTGTTACTTATCAATCACATGTAGAAACTGATATCAAGATTGCACCTTTCCTTCACAACTCCATTTTCTGTTGCATCAATATCGGAATTCATTCCATCGATACCATCTAAAAGCTTCCTCTCAATTTCCCCATCCAAAACCAATGCCAATAACTGCATAATCAACCCAATAATCAACTCAAGAAGACCTAAAGGTGAGTTTTGAGGACAGAAATGAACTGAAGATCAAGCTTACCATTTCAGTATGAGTATGATTTGGAAGTGGGTAATAGAGAGAAAACTTCGCCATTTATGGTACAATGTAAACTTCTGCTGAACAAAATAATCAATCAAACTCAAGCAAACAATCCTCTGCAAAACGTTTTTCTGCTAGTAAAAAGGCACTTTGATAGCATCCAACACTCATGATACAAATAACATTCATAATTCAACAATATACACAACAAATACAATACTGATATTTCACTCTTCTTCATACCCTCACATCTCTCTTATTTCAATCCTTCTACACAACAAAGTTTCAAGAGATTCACTCTTATTGAGGTAAGTCCATCCTCCAAAAATTATATAATTAAACAAGCTACCATCAATTTCTAAACCCCAAATTGAGACATCCCTCATCAAACAACCTGCCATAATCTCCCCCCAACGCTAGAGAGCCCACCTCATCCTGGCGCCAAAACCACTCCTCGTACCTATACCACCTCATCAGCCCTTCATCACTTATCATCCTCTGACACGTAACGCATGATGTACTCATACAATAATGAAACTCATGCAACTTTCTCGCTTTCTCCAAAATCGCACAGTCCATTTCTTTTATTATTTGCTTCCTGCCAACAGTCGATAGGCTCTCCAGCAGAAAGCAATGCGAGACATTAAGGATCTCCAAGTGATCCATGCAGTCTAAGATAAATAGCAATGCTTCCTTTGTCAATATAGAGCATCGTAGACTTAGGGTTTTTAGATTGGGAAGGTAGGAAGCAATGGTTGAAGCAAAATGGACATCAAAGTTGCCCATGATCTTAAGAGAAGAGAAGTTTTTGCAGTTCCTGCTTATTTCCTCCATTATATAGGGAGGATGAGCAATGCTAGGCATTGTTAGGGATTCGAGCTCTTTCCATCTCCGGATTGCTAGGCTGATTCCAGTTTTTGTTATTCGGTTCCATGCTGGCATTACGAGCCGTTTGAGATGAGGGCACCTGTTATATAGAAAAGAGATAGATCAAGTTATGTCTAAAATCTACCAATTACACGAAGAGAGGGTAAACAATGGCATATAATTGAAGAAATTTGTATGCAGTAGCAAAACCAGCTTGTTATATGTAAGCATGTTTTATAACATAATCTAAAACAAAAGACTCGAAATGAGTAGGTGAGATAGCCTAATCAGAGGTCTTGAGTTTGCATCCTGCTATCTGCAGCAGACAGGCCAAAAGGATTAGTTAAAACTGAAGTAATTGAGATCCTGGTGAAATGAACAAACAATGTGGTCAATAGATGAGTTAATCCCAAGAAAAGAATCCTTATTCATGATAGGTGCAAGTTCATGAAAGGAGGGAAGCCGTGAGGGCTAGAACATGACAACTATCGACAAAGTTTCAGTTTCAATTGGCTGTGGAGGATTTTCCTTGGACTTCAAGAACACATTCATCTCGACATAGTCCAATCACACACTTCATTTTCGTTATAAATTTATAACAAGTATTAACAGATCTCGACCCCTATTTGCCACATGATCAAAAGACGCCAGCTATCAACCATGGACTAGACGAAGTTTCACCTTCACTTGGCTGAGGAGGATTTTTCCCGGGACCTCACACGTATATCTCAACATTGTACAGTTACACACTTCACTTTCACCATAAAAATGATAAAAACACATATTGACTCCTATTTGCAACAGGGATACAGCCAAATTTCACAAGTAGAATAGTAGTTGAAAATAATGAAATGACGACGTTTGGTAGGATTTTGAGAACCCTTCAGGGTGAATGCCAAGCTTGTAGGAACTTCACGGTGGATCTCTCTAAGGATAATAAATTTAATTTATTTTGATCTGCATACTTTAATTAGTCAATGAATGAGAAATCAATGTTATAAGAACTTTTCCATCATGGATCAAGTGGCATTATCTTTTATGGATAAAAACATTAACTTGATGCATCCATATAAGATTCTCAAAACACTTGTTCTCTTATCCTTAGACTAGTTAGATTCTGTAGATCAATATGAACCCAAGGGATCATGTTTATACTTTCATACATAAAAATATTAATGTAAGGTTGTCAAATGAAACAGATATTATGAAATAGGGAGGAGTGTTTCCAGCCCCTTCAATTTGCAATGAATTTCTTTTAGCATCCTTTTAAAATTTATAGTAAACCCTTACCTTTTGGAGTTCCTTTTAGCTTCCAGCGCACGCTTCTTTTCTATTAAATAACAGATCTCTATAGAGAGAATAGCAACTTTTACATTATGCGACTTTTCAGTAGTCTTCTGGATAGAACTAGACCAGCAGGGACTAAAGAAATTCCAGGTCAAAGAAGGGTAATGTCTGAAAAAGAAATTCATGTAGAAAGTGGACAAATTGGAGACAATTTGATATAAACAAAATTAATATAAATCAGTAATTTCCTACACAGTCATTCACGTGTCAACAAAATCAATTTTAAACCCCATTACACACTAAATTTAACGTCTTAGTCTCTGCTAGATTCTGATATGTCTTCCCCATAAAACGTATTTTGAGGATAGATCAAAACAACATCTAATCACGTATCCACCAAGTACCTGAGTCGACATGTATCACCTAAGTATCTGAGAAGAAGATATGAATCCAACTGTGTGTAACAACAGTTATAAGGTTATAGTCCATATAAATACAACTTGAAGTTTATACTGAACAATATTAAAGATCTTACTACTCACTAGGTTTATTAAAAAAGGGCTAATTGTGAATAGACCCCTGTACTATGGCATAGTAGCGAATAGACCCCCTATAGTTTTATTTGTGTGGATAGACCCATGTAGTATTTGCTCATGTGCAGATAGACCCCTAAATGAACTTTTTCTGACTGTTTAAGAGGGGGAAAAAGCAATGGCGATCTGTCCTCACCAATACAACAACTGGGGGTCCATCCGCCTCCTCAAAAAATTTTGACTGTTTTTAGCGTCAAAAAGAAAAAAAAAATTCACTTAGGGGGGCTATCCACACAAATAGAGCTACAGACGGTCTATTCACAACTGGGCAATTGTACAGGGGGTCTATCCGCAATTAACCCTAAAATACTTTCGTCCACCTAATTTTCTAACTGCTCTCAGAGAAATGAAATTAGGTCATTCCTAATAACCACCTTCAAATGGCACTGAAACTATGGAAAGACACAGGAGAAATAACCTTACATTACTATTTATGCAAGTGAACCAATACATGGTTTGAAAATTGGAAAAATAAAACTACTAATTAAAGAAAATTATATAACAGATTTGTAACAAGTCTTATTTGATAACAAGTTCAACAGATCTTCTCCGAACATATAGAGAAGGGGGAAAAATCAAAGTGAAATGAGGATAGGTTGACTGATTCGTCGAATGTAATTACCTCTCAGCAATGTAACTAAGGTGATCATCTTTCATGTACAGATTAAAGTGGAATATCAGGCAGGTGATATTTCCGTGACTTAGAGCCATTGCAATTCTCAGTAACTTACTAAGCTTCCTGTCGGACCTTTCATCCACCCATATAAATGGCGAAGCCCTAGTTTGTATGAAATTGGATTTGAGCAGGCCCAAGTCGAGGGTGTTCCAGAGCAATGGATCGGAACATGCTGACCGCCATAAACGGCAAACTTGAGAGACAGGCGCCAACTCAATCATGTTTAGCTCTTTAAAGATCTTCACAAGGACATCGGTCTCCATATCCTCCCACTTCTTAGCTATTGATGTAATTTCAGACATCCTGTATATGGACAACATCAATAAACCTCAGATCATATTCATCAAATCAATAGTATCAGAAGCTAAAACATGCTAGATGCATAGAACTGCTATGGCAGGGTAAAATTTTCTGAAGTGACCTGTGTTTTCAGCTTGTGACAGCAGTTTTACCATAGTATGTGAATAAACAGAATCCATAAAATTTTACAAGCTTAAATGTACATAAGAGAACAATTAAAATTGAATTCATTTTAAAAACATGTAGTGTAATACAATCCTTAGATCTATTATCACCATGGGAGTTGGCCACTATTTGCTAAGGGATCTGACATGACCCAACTAAGTATGCTGCCAGCACTAAGGTTAAATTCCAAAATAGTATCTAAAGAGCAATTTTTTAAAAAGTAGAAACGTAAGCGAAGTGTTGACCCTTTTATGTAGCGAGACATAAGCTTCAAGGCATCAGGCCTCATAAATAGATGTATTTTAATTATACAATTTATTAATATTATAAGAATATAATATAAAGTATAACAATTTACATGTAGTTATAATCCATGCTTTAGATAGTAAATAAGAATGAAATATGCTAAATATAGTCACAAATCATAGTAAACTAAGCCACATAAGTAATATATATTTTATTTATAGTCACATGGCCTAAAGTTATCAAACTAAAAAGCTGAGCTGAATTACTGCATTGATTCAAGGGTCTAGTTAAAATGAACAAGAAAGTAGATACAGCTCAGAAAAGAGAAAAATGATGGAATACTAATGACAAATATTAAACCCATCAAGAGATACAAAGAAAAGAGATCAACCTAAAACTCAAAATTGTTGGAGAACAAAAAAAAAGGTTGAATTACAATGGTTTATCCTTGTCGTCAGCTATGTGTGAGCTCTCACAGAAGACAAAAGCTCTCGGCTTGTTACTGTGGATCCCACAAGATAATGGCTAAGGTGGGTTCAGTTGTGTATATATAGAAGGCACAAAAATACATCCGACCTTTCACGTTATTCAACTTCAGACTTTCCATAGGAACCCACCAGATGCAAGACAAGAATTACCTACATTTTGAGAGTCTAGTGAGGCTGAACCAAAAAGGATCTTAGACAATAGATTCAAGCAAAACGGAAGGAAGATTGTGGTTTACGTTTTAAGTGGAGGGGTAAAGAAGAGATGGAAGCCACTTGGAAGGAATACTACTCCTCTCTGAAGAAGTACCATGTCTTTGTCCTTGAGGACAAGGTATGTGTAGAGGGGGGAAGTCAAGGACTCAGTGACAAGGGCATCTTAGCAATTGGCCTAGCTGTTGAAGGCCCACAAGGCTCATACTCAATCATGCAGTTGTCGTCAGATTGCAGATTCTCTGTGCAATGTCCAAGTGCGCAGAGAGGCGTGGTGGTGGTTACGGGAGAGATAGTAGTTGAGTGACAAATGTTATGGTTATTTATAGAGAATCATGTAATGAGAGAACATCTAGCTGGAGAATGTAATAGCTTTTTTTCAAGTAATGAGATAATAGACCGCAAGCACTATTGTAAATAACGGTCGATAGTGGTGCAAATAGTTATAATTTCATTGACTGAACTGAAGTCAACAATAGCGCTTGTGAGTGCTTTGGCGAGTGCAAAGCGTACGAAAGCGTGAAAAAGCCGTAAATATCTGTAAATAGTGCTCATTTATCTATGCTTGAGGACTTCTTTTTATGTCAAATTTCAAATAGTTAAATACAATTTTGTTGCTACTAATCAATGTTTCTCTATTGTTGAGAATTTTTCTATTAGAGACTTGAAAGTTGAAAGAATGGGAGAAATAACGATCTTTTTGATACACATGTACGGCTTGTAATTCTATATAGTACCTTTGTTAATATTATGTGATTGTTACACATCTATGTCATGCTCAGGATCTCTATAAATCATCAAATATGCATTCGTAGAATTTTTAGATTTTTTGGAATATTTATACATATTTAAATTGGACAGCTGTTTGACTCTGCGCCTTTTGCCACATAACCCCAAATAGCCTTAGCGGTGCCTCTTCGCTACGTGACGCTATCTGCTATCAGTAACCTTGACCGCAAGCAATTCAAAGATATTGCATATTCATTTCCAACATATTAATACTGTTGCCTACTATTTCTTCTAAATACAGAATTTTCCACAATTGAATTTCAGAAACATAGCATGACTCCAGGTAAATCAAAGTTTGCCAAAATGAACCTAATTCGCAGTAGCTAGGGATTGATCAAACAAAATTTCCCAATGGGCATGAGCTCACCTCCTGTGAATTATCATTATCATAACAGAATTATACCATCAGAGACCAGGTAGATTCAAAATTTTGTTTTCCTCCTAGTCTTCAACCCTAATTTCCCACAAATTGATGACTGAAAAAAAAAATCAAATCTTGAATTAAAAGTACATACCTTTTCTGCCCCTTCCTCCTCCTCTCCTCCAAAATTTCCAAATTTCCCTGAAAATTAGAATCAAAACCAGCTCATAGCACAAAATAAAGCATTTTGAGATCAAATTTCTTCTAGACTTCATCAAATTGTTTCCTTTCAGTTTCTCCTCTCACGTCCAAACAAAATCAACAAAAACGAGGCTCAGAGCCCCCGAATTAACCAAACCAAATAAAATTCCAGCAGAAAATTGAATAAAAGGACAAAAAAATAATTAATATTTAATAACAACTTGAAAAAAAAATTACCTTATTTCATCATCATCTTCATTTCTCGTCTGCTCTTCTGGCCGTTCCTTTAACACAGCGGAAAAACACGAACGATTGTACCGAAAAAGTGTGACTGGAAATGCTCAAATTACTAAAATAGCCTTGAAAGAAATGAATCTGTTTCCGACAGGAGTTGCATGGTTATTAGTGTAATTTACTAACTTTTTTAATTTTTTCCCTAACTATTTTTGAGTATGCAGTTTTAGTGCGAAATTAATATATAGCATTTATTAAGAAGAGCCTTGTTTTTTTAGGGAAAAATGTGTACAGGCCCTAAAAATAGAGACTTCATGTGACAAGGCCCCTCATAGTTTTCCCCGTGTGAATCAGTCCCTTGATGTGTGACACTTTGTACTGTAGCCCTTTTTTTATCAATTATTACATGCAAGCTAATCTAAAATCCCAAAATTATCCTTATCCTCTCTCCTCAATCTCTCAGATCCAGCAATCATATCATCTTTCTCTCTCATCTCCTCTCTCTCTCTCTCTCTCTCTCTCTCTCTAAAACTAAGAGCTTTCTCAAGCTCGTCAACCTGGCCCTCGCCCTCCTCGCCCTTGCCGCCTCCGCTCAGGCTCCCAAGGCTCCCCTCGAGTTCGCCGCCGCCTCCCCTCCCCTCCTCCACCCGTCCTCATCGTCGTAGATCGTCGCCGCTCCCCCGCCGTAGATCGTCGCCGTCGAGACGCACAGAGCATTAATCCATTAGCTAGAAGAAAAAAGAAAAAATGTTTGACCAGCTACAAATAAATGAACGATTTAATTTTAAAAAATAGTCAAAAGTTGTCCCCATTTTTCCACTTTCACGAGACATCCACGCCTTTTTGGAGGAAGCTGAATTTGCAATAAGCCTAATGTGCGCAGTCTTTTTATATTTTAATTTCGAACAAAATTTTAAAATAGATCATTTTTAAAACTTAATTAGCAAAATAGGCTAAAAAATATTTAATTACCAAAAATCGTTGTAAGCTGGGACGGTAGTTATAAATCGTTGTTATAAATGAGGATACAGTCATGTTTTTATAAATCGTTGTTAATTATATTTGATAATAGTTATACCTAATGATATGTTATTTCTAGATGCTATCGTGGTAGTTCTAGTAGCCCTCGAGTTAGTTCTAGCTTCTATTACCCTAGTTCTAGCTTGTATACAGCGAGTTCTAGCCCACACCTTGCTAGTTCTAAACCAAGTCCGCGTTTTTTACAAGCAACTTAATTCTAGCTTCTACGTTAGTTCTAGCATCTATTACCCTAGTTCTAGCTTGTATACAGCCAGTTCTAGCCCACACCTTGTTAGTTCTAAACCCAACAAGGGTTTTTTACATGCACACTTGTTAATTCTTTCTTCTACGTTAGTTCTAACTTCTATTACCCTAGTTCTAGCTTGTATACAGCCAGTTCTAGCCCATACATTGCTAGTTCTAAACCCAATAAGGATTTTTTACATGCACACTTATTAATTCTTGCTTCTACGTTAGTTCTAACTTCTATTACCCTAGTTCTAGCTTGTATACAGCCAGTTCTAGCCCATACATTGCTAGTTCTAAACCCAATAAGGATTTTTTACATGCACACTTATTAATTCTTGCTTCTACGTTAGTTCTAGCTTCTATTACCCTAGTTCTAGCTTGTATACAGCCAGTTCTAGCCCACACATTGATAGTACTCTAAACCCAACAAGGGTTTTTTACATGCACACTTGTTAATACTTGCTTCTACCTTAGTTCTAGCTTCTATTACCCTAGTTCTAGTTTGTATACAGCCAGTTCTAGCCCACACCTTGCTAGTTCTAAACCCAACAAGGATTTTTTACATGCACACTTGTTAATTCTTGCTTTTACGTTAGTTCTAGCTTTTATTACCCTAGTTTTAGCTTGTATACAACTAGTTCTAGCCCACACCTTGCTAGTTCTAAACCCAACAAGGTTTCTTTACATGCACACTTGTTAATTCTTACTTCTACGTTAGTTCTAGCTTCTATTACCCTAGTTCTAGCCCACACCTTGCTAGTTCTAAACCAAAGCCGCGTTTTTTACCTTCACACTTGTTAATTCATGCTTCTACGTTAGTTCTAGCTTCTATTACCCTAGTTCTAGCTTGTATACAGCTAGTTCTAGCCCACACAATGCTAGTTCTAAACCCAACTGTAAGGACCATGAATTTTGATACTAGTTAAAATTATTTTCTAGTATTTTAAAATATTTAATTATGATTTTTAAAAAAGTATTTATATTTTTCTCAAATTTCTATAATTTTCTATGATTTAAAGTCTAAGTTTTATATTTATTTAAATGATTTACATATTTATAAATTTATTTAGTGCAGAAATTTTTTTTAGAATTTATCCGTTGTGTTACCGATACTATTACGTATCATTTTGAATAATACGTGGTATTATTATTATTATTACATATATTTTCGTATAATACGTTGTATTATTAATTACATATTATTTGTATAATTTCTTATATTATTTCTACTGTTACGTATTATCGGTCGTATTAGTATAACTGGTACGTTGTACTGTGTATATAATTATCCCATAATTATATGATTTTAAATGTGAGTAAATATATTTTATTATTAATTATTTCCATTTAATTATACAATATGTGTATATTTCGACTGTTTCGTATCAACTGTTGTATTAGCACAACATGTACATTTTTATTTGTAGATAATTATTATGTAATTAGTTTAATTTTTAAATACCCGTAACTATTTTATTTTAATTATTTTTGTTATTTAAATACCAAACCCTAAGCTTCTGCTGCTCTCTCTCTCTCTCTCTCTCTCCTCTCTATAATGATATATATATTATATATATTATATATATATATATATATATATTATATATCTATATATATATATCATATATATAATATATATAATATATATATATATATTTTGTTTTTTTTCCTTGCTCTCCTCTTTCTCTACCTCCCCAAACCGTCCGCGCTACATCTCTCTCCTCCCTCTGCGTTCTCTCTCGCGACGAGTCCCCGCGCCTGAGACCCCGAGACTGCCCAAAGCCCACATCGTGCCGGGTGAGAACTCCGACCGCCCTTGCTCCGGCCCGACCGCGCACCCCCGAATCGCCCCCCCCCCCCCCCGCCTCCCTCGCCGTCACAGGTCACCTCCGGTGTCTCCGCACAAGCTGCAGCTTCGGAACGGAGCTCGCTGACTGACTCTCCGCGTATCCTGCCTTTACAGCAGCGCAGTCCCCACCGAGCTCCGCCCGTCTTGCCGCCAGCCTACTCACCGTCTCGCTCCCCTTAGTCCTCCTGTAAGCCCGCCATCAGCCGCCCACGTCGCCGTCCTCAGGCCGCAGAGACAGCCAGAACTCGCGACGAATCTCGAACTCCTCCCTGCCTGACCACCGACCCAGCCCTTCCACCTGCGTGCTTCACCCTGCTCGCGGCCGCGCAGATCCAGCCGCGCTCCGACCAGCCTCCAACCCCCTGCAGCCCCCTCCGCAGCCCAGATCTACGCCAGCGCCCGAGCTTCCTCCTATCCGGCCGACCGTCAGCCCCCCTTCCCGACCGATGCAAGGCAGCAGGCCCGACAGCCCTGTCGAGCCGCCCAACTCCGACGATCGCAGATCTGAGCTCCGTCCAACGCCGCTGCCTTCACCCTGATCGAGTCGCCGACGTCGCAGTCCAGATCCACCTCTAGCAGATCCATCATGACTCTACCGTTCAGATCCGTCGTACCGGGTCCGCATCGGCCCCACCGCTCGTCATCAGACCCCTTGGTCTCGCAGGCAAGATCCCGAACCTTGATTATTTCATTTTAATTCTTAGCTTTATCGTAAATTATTATGTGACTCGTCATTCAATTTCTAGATCTGTTATGAGTTAATTAATTAGATTAGTCTGTGATATATATTATTACCTGCATGGGATTGTTGACATGAATAACTGTGTGGAAGCTTGTTGTGTTATCACTTAGTTGTTACCCAATAGGAGAGACTGTACATGAAGACGACTTCTGTTAAAAGTATGATTTATAAGCGTGCTTCAAAGCATGGCTATACTCGCTCGACATCGATATCCTGATGTGAGGAGTCCCGAGTTCCCTCGATATCGATATCCCGGTATGAGGTTTCCTTGATTATTATTATTATTATAGCATTGACTAGACGATGCACTCTTGATCGGACGTGTAACGGGTCACGGTTATTTTCATAATTTTACAGAAGTCGTTCCACGGTAACTCTATGGCTAGTGCACAATATTTCATGTACAGTTGCGTAATTAATATGACAAACATGGGGTTATAAAGGGAAATTGGACGGAGAATATAGCATGTATATAAACGAGCACAATGCTTTCTTGTTATCGTGATATCGTGAGTGTTATGTACATGGGCCAGAGGGCCAATACTTGACTTGAAGGCGGCCCCCGGACGACTTTACGGGGACCCGATTATATATATTAAAATATTCTTCCCCAATTCAAATAACATGTAAAAACAAGAATAATATGCTTGCGTGCTTTATGGTGGACCTTGTTAGTTTTGTTGAGATGTAGATTAGTGTTGTTCTTTTCATACATAGATCGGGATTAACATTTAATTATCTGCAATTTGAGACATATGGTATATACATGAGGGTTTCCTTGTTTGGATTATTTCGCTCGACGTACTACGTCTCGAGTTGTAGATTTTTAAGTATTAATTTCATCTAGTGTATGACCTTGTTACTTGGATGATTAGTTTGATCGCTAGTTGCATGATCTCGTTACCTGATCAATTTTGGATGCTTTATGTTATCATGATTTAGTAGTGTTTTCATGTTGATTTGTGGATTTCAGTTGTACATTGTTTCTGTTATCGTATCGTTTTTCGCATTGGATTTTCGTTTGTTCAATTTTCTTTGTGGGGTCGGGTCTTGCCGTGTGCCATACACGCTGACGTACACCTGTTTTCTCTGGTGTACGTTAGACT